GAAAAGAAAAAAGGCATTTTTCTTAATACCAATCGAATCCAAGACATGGCCAGCGAAATCTTCATAAAGATGAGGCGTGTCGGCAGCCAGTTGACGGCGCCAAGGTACGTGATGGCCTCCAAGGTGGCGGCCAGCAGGAACAGCAGCAGGGCTACGTTGGAGTACATCTCGTCGACCGAGTCCGGGTTGCCAGCCGGTAGTCCGCTTTCGAGGTTGACTGCGCGCGGCGTCCGATACTGGGGGGGCGATGGCCGGAGCCTGCGGTCTGGTATCCTCAGGGTCATGTTCCCGAGCTGCTTCGTGACCTTGGCGGTTCGCGGCGGATCCCAGATGTAGCCCATCTTCAACGATACGGGTGACGTTGTCGTCCATTTCCCCATCGCTGTTGTCACTGTCGTCGTCTGATTTGTCAGAGTTCATTGCAGGGGGGGCTACTTCGTGTGGGCCGTGACCATGGTCAGCCAGAAACCGCACCATGGCCCAGACGCCCGGCTTGGGGATCTGAGGCAAACCCGCTTCGTCTCTATTCAATCTGCTCCTTGTACGTCTTCTATTGCGGGCTGAGGTTGGTGCAGATGTGGACGGCGAACCTGTCGTTCTCCTCCGAGACGTAGCCACGGTGGACCGAGTTCTCGATGATCCTGTCCCGCATGTAATGGTCGAACGTGTCGACACCTAGATGAACATGGTTCAATCAACCGAGACACAGGAGAGCCTCATTTTTGCCAAACAAAGAAAAGTCGTGATCATTACTGGTGTGAAAGATGGCTATGGAACAGGCTGTGGGTACAGTCTGCAATACACTATTCATACAACATTGAGCGCGAGAGGTGAGACTGTAGCTACACCAAGACCTCAGGCGCAAGATTGGTTGGATCAGGCCCACGCGCGTTAGTCGGATTGACTTGCCCCGCGCTGTAGCGAGTCTCCCCAACAGGCTGACTGGCGATCCAGCGCAGCAGCGTCCAGGCGTCCGGGCTGGGCTCAGGCCCCGACAAGTCCAGGGTCCGCGACTGGCGCAAGACCAGCTTGTTCTGCTTGCCGTCAAAGTAGGCCTGAGTCAGGCGGGCCGTCTGGTTCCGCAGCAAGGTGGCGATTAGTGCGGGTTTTGTGTGGTGGTTGGTAAACATGCCCTTTTGCAGCTGGTACTTGACAAGAGCGAGTGCGGCCTCCGCCTCGGAGAGCAGGATGGCGTCGTTGTTGGGAGCACCCGAGTCGAGAACAGAACAGGACACGTGTGGCAGCTCAGCATCTGGTGGGGGAAACATTGCCCACATGCCGCAGTATTCGTGATGGTGCATGATCGACCGGCGCTCTTGAAATATACGATACGGGAGGCAAAGGCCGAGCTTCTCCTTGATTGACATTTGATCACTGGAGACTGTTGGTGACGGATTTGTGGCGTCCAAGAAGACAGTAGACTTGCACATACCTATAACAGTCCCATAGGTTTGGCACAACCTGTGACAGTCGGTAGAGGCAGTTCTTCGTACCAGCCCATTTTCGACATGGGAAAATCGAGCAAAATGGCCGGGTCGGGCGTGACATGGTCTAGATTGCGCCAGCTTCCTCTTTCGTTGCAGGTTTGGCCTTGGAGGACACGTCAAGCGGCCAGTCACAGGGCGCGAAGAAGGTATCAGAGATGCGTGAGGGCGTTGCGCCGTCGCGGCCAACATCAAGCTCTGGGCCCCAGACATATGGATAGGCTGTCGAGCGCGTCCTTGTTCATCGTCGGGATCTTGGTGGCTCGGAGAGACTTGCGTATGCGTCTCATTCTGCCGATTTGGAAATTTTCGATGGCGGCATATGGCAATTCGTCTGTGTCGGTGACGCTGTCGAGCGACACGCCGATAGTGGAGCAGGGCATCGCGTCAGGGGAGATTGTGTGCTCTGGGCGTGATGTATTATGTTGTTGATGCCATCTGATGGTTAACGTAGTGGGTTGTATGTTGTGTATAGCGGCGTTGGTGGGATTGCGTTTGTTGCAAAGCCGTTGTCAGGCAACGACTAGTTAATCACCCTAGCTTGTTGGTAACCGGGCAAGACCAGCAGTAGGGGCCAGACTGCTATATATAGGAAGCGATTAATAGTGTAGCGGCACCCTCAGATTCGGCGGGCGGGACGACAAAGTAAAGCATACCTTGAAGAGAAATGCTTTCAATCTTTTGTAAAGCCAATAATCTCTATATTCTACATACATCTTCTCTTGTCCAACACTTGTGTTCCCCCATCCAGCCGAGATGACGTGACAAACAGGTGGTTGTCGCAGCAACCCCACTCCTTGATGGTGCGCAACTTGTGCTATTTACTTGTACAAAGCCTGCATCTCACAAGCACCCTGCGCTTCCGTGGCTCAGTAGTCATGATAAAAAGTACTTTCTCCAAGTACTAGACTTTTAGTTATTTAAGCTATAGACTATATAGTATTTATCTTGAGGTATAGTAGTATAGTTTTAGTGGCGGGGTATAGTGGGCTAATGATGTTTCAGTGCTAAAGAGCAACTTAATAGGTCCTAACTAATACTGGTGCACCGTATTCCCCCCCGCATTTGCATAATAAAATCGACATCATCACTAGTTGGACCAAGAGGGTTTACAAACATCTTGGAACTCTTTACTTGAGACTTTATCTTGTAGTCATTTCAAAATCTCACGTATTCACATAATGGCCCCGATTGGTATCGCCATTATTGGCAGCGGCATATTTGTCAAGGAGCAGCACATTGTGAGCACACTCTCATTTCCCCCTTCTTCTTTTCTTATGCCATTTCCTCGACTCGAACCAACCCCCTGCTAAACTCTCCCCTCCCAGCCTGCCATTCTCCAGTGCGAGCTCCTCTCCCTCAAAGCCATCTTCTCCCGCTCCCTCCACTCCGCCTCCGCCGCTGCCGCTGCCCTGCCGCCCTCCGCGTCCCCGCCGGACCTGTACGCTGAAGACGCCGGCCCTGGCCGCGCCCTCGCCGACGTGCTGGCCCGCGCCGACATCACCGCCGTCATCGTCGCACTGCCCATCCCCGCGCAGCCCGCCTATGTGCGCGCCGCCCTGGCCGCCGGCAAGCACGTGCTCGCCGAGAAGCCCATTGCCCCAGACGTGGCCGCCGCGCGGGCCCTCATCGCCTACAGCACGAGTGACGCCGTGACGCGCGCTGGCGGCGCGGCGGCGGCGGCGGCGGCACCCACGCTCTCCATCGCTGAGAACCAGCGATTCTTTCCGCGCTTCACGTTTGCGCTGCAAGAAGCTGCCGCCGCCGCTGCTGCTGCTGGGGAACGGGACTTGGGCAGGGTGACGCATTTCTCGGTGCGGGTCAGCGATATGGTAGGCACGGACGGCAAGTACTACAAGACAGCGTGGAGGCAGGCTCCGTCGTACCAGGGCGGTTTTCTGCTCGACGGCGGTGTGCACTTTGCGGCCGGGGCGCGCATGCTGCTCTTGCTAGCGACGAACGCGGGTTTAGGCCGCACCGATGCATCGTCGACGGTGCGGGCGGATTCACGGCCGGCAAGGGTCAGCGCGCGCACGGCGCTGGTGCGAGAGCACCTGCCGCCGGTAGACAGCGTCGCGGCGCTGGTAACAACGCGGGGCGGCGCGACGGGCACGTATCAGCACAGCGTGGGGTCGACCATCTCGGCGTACGAGTTTGAGGTGGCGTACGAGCACGGGAGCGTGCGCGTGCGCGAGGGCACGGTGACGGTCGAGTTGAGCGGCCGCGAGCCGGTGAGCAGGACGTTTGAAAGGGCGAGCGGCGTGCCCGAGGAGGTGGCGGCGTGGGCGGCGGGATTGCGAGATGGGAGGCCGGATCCGGCACAGTCGCCCGAGGAGGCGCTCGCGGATTTGGAATTTATTGAAAAGATGATTCAGAGCGGTGAGCAGGATGGAAAGTGGCTTGATTACGAATTCCAGTGAAGCAATCCGACTGTCAAAGCGTGCTTGGAGAAGACTGCAATCGTCATCAGTGGAACTCAAGTTGAGAAGATATTCATGCCGGGCTTAAATGGATATTGGCCGAGGTCAGTGCACCTCGAACCATCTATTATGTACACTACTCTAAGACTGGTATATACCAACTCACTCACATCCTTCTAGATTAAGCAAACCCATTGCCATTATGGGCGATGTTGCTAGTAGTGCCGTACACTTGATTGCGGATGGCATTCTGCGTGGCCATCCGGGCCATGGTCTGGCACAGGTCAGGCGAGACCTTGTTGGCGTCTTGGGAGCCAATGTACGCAGCCAGGCCGGCAATGTGCGGCGCCGCCATGGAGGTACCCGTCATCTGGGTCATGCCGCCACCAGGCTTTGCGGAGATGACGGCCACAGCCGGGGCGTTGATGTCGATGATGGGGCCGTGGTTGGACATGTCGTAGCGGAGGTCGCCCTTGCCCACGCCGCCAACGGTGCAAATATTGGGGGCCGAGGCGGGCGAGAAGTATCTCGCGTCCCGGTTGTCGTTGCCGGCAGCGACGGCCATGAAGATGCCGTTGTTGGCCATGTTGCCGGCCGCCTGGTTCAGGGCGGGAGAGAAAGGGCCGCCGAGGGAGCCGCTGACGACGACGCCTTTCGGACAGTCGCGCCGGGGCGCGTCTTGCAGGATAAAGTCATAGGCAGCAATCAGGTCCGAGGTACGGAAGCTGTTGTCTCTATCGATGACCTTGACGCCATACATGGTGGCTTTCTTGGCGACGCCAAAGCTGAGGGAGCCAATGGTGCCGGCGCAGTGCGTGCCGTGGCCGTGGTCATCGTAGTTGACGCCGGGGATAAAGCTCTTGATTTGGTGGGCGCGGCCCTGGAATTGCTATAGTTGATGGCTGGTCAGTACCCGCATGGAATAAGGACGAGGCTGCATCATCGTTGCCAGTAACAACATGACTTACAGGGTGGTTCTCGTCAATGCCAGTGTCTGTGATGTAGACGCAGACGCCCTCGCCGCCTGTTTTGTTGAAGACGTATCCGCTACCACCGGCTTGGTGGTGGGAGATGCGTCTCAGGCCCCAGGGACACTCGTTCTGAGTCGCAAGGTTGGCGGAACCTTGGCCGGCCACGTCCTGTTCAATGTACTGGACGATGGGGTTCATGCGAAACTTTTCCACCGTCTCCCCGTCCATGTCGGCCGTGAAGCCCTGGAACTTGTTCTTGTAGCGGTGCGTGAGCTTCTCGTCGGTGATGTCCTTGAGCGCCTTTTCAATCTCGGCATCGTCCGTGTCGGGCTTGAACTTGATGATGTACCTGTCGCTGCCGCCGCGCGCGTGGATGGACTTTTCGTCCTCGTGCAGGTACAGGGGGGCCGGCGAGGAGCGGGTGGCGAGCTTGACCGACTCGTCTTCATGCAGGATCAGAGCAGCCATGTCCGATCGAGCGACATTCGCGTGAAGAATCACAGGAGCCAGCTCCGCGCGCTTCATGTCGCCAAGCGGTTTGGCCAGCGCCAAAGGCAGCACAGTCACGACAGTAGAGACACGCATCGTCAAACTTGTGGAGAATTGAATGTTGAAATTTAAAAAAACAAAAAACAAAACCGGGACAAGAAAGAAAAGATTTGCTCAGCAAGATCAATGAAAAGAGAAAAAAGAAAAAGAACGTGGAAGAGCACAGCCCTGGTAAACTGACGATGAATGAGACGGGTGAGGAGCTTCAATTGACTCGTCGACATCAAGCAGCCTTATATTCACGCTACAGAGATGCATCTTGGCCGGCTTCTACAGGCCATTACGTTTCAAGCATACAAAAGAGTCCTCGCAAAAGTGAGGCTCATTTCCACGTTTCAGTGTCCGCAGTATGCTAGTTATACTGCTATTCAACTCGAAACGCAGCATGAATTGTGATGCGGGCCTCTGATATCAACCATATCCGAAAGAGGCAGGTACGTGCAGTTCGCCCAGAACATGCGAAACAATCACCGCCACTACATAGCGCCAAAGATAACAGACCAAACAGGTGCATAATTGTTTACCGCCCTGTTTGAGTGAACCAAATGGGAGTTGGCATGGTATTCTACTCCTAGCACCTTGACACTCCTTGGCGCGGCGGGCCTACACTTGAAGCTCTCAAAGTCAGTGGTCAACTAATCATGAAAAGGGCTAGCACATCGGCGACGGAGAGTTTAGCATCGTTGCCTTTTAAATTAGCGAGATAGTCCCATCGAAATGACGGTATTCAGGCAAACTTTCATGCAACTCGTTTCATCCAAAGTGCTGCTGGCCCAAACTTTCAAGAGATATGGCATATCAATAGAGCACAAGGTAATGACTAGTTAGCACACGTACCTCTGATATCGGACTTAATAGGGTCAAATTCTGGCCAGTCCAAGCTGAAGCCTGGAGCTAGGATGTTGGTGGCTGAAACCGATCGTCAATGCGAGGCAAACCCGGACGAACAGTAAGGAGAACGAGGGAACTAGACGACGGACGGTGCAGAATAGAACTCTAAATGTTTATTCTGACCGTCGATATGTCAAGTCACACGCTACAAAAGATTTTTGATAATATTCTTTACAGGCTTGTAGGGCGCAGATCTAGCTCACCGAATGGCATCTTCAACGCCGGACGGCGCGATAACTAGAGTATTTTTCTGGGAGACAGTAGCATAAGCTCACCCTTGCCGAATTTCTTTTCTGCATCGGGAATATTGAGCCATGAACTGAAATAATTACTTGGATCCGTCATTATGCGATAATTGTCCAATTTCTCCGTCTACTATTCAACCAGCCGCTGGTCTGAGCAGTGTAATTTCCCCCGCGTAGCCACTATCTAGCAATGACAACATTGATTAATAGCTGACGGGGGCTTACCTCATCTTTTCTCTTTTTTCTCTCTTTTTTATGCGCTTGACTCCGCGATTGCGTGCGGGAGAGTTATGCAAAGTGGACTGGCTGCAAGTCTGCGCCGCCGAGACAAGGCGTTCGACTCGTCTTGACCCTGGTTTTTCCGTCCCAACTTGCCGCTTCAATCAATGCGACAGTCACCATCTAAGCCGGTTTTTGGGCCATTCGCACAGCCAGCATGATACCTTGAATCAGGGACAACTCATCGATTTAGCACCTGATTGGCTCATCTTGATGTGGATCATCTCCAGCGCGCATATATCGGCACAAATATAGATGCCAATACTACCAAAGGGCACCCATCACCACCCAAACCCCGTAGAACCACGGGGATTTTCAAGGCCGCTCCCGCCAAGCGAGGACTTCCCGCCAAGCTGCGGCGGCATTATCAAACAAGTTCTACGTGTCATCGGCCTGCAATTTGCGCCCCGCCATGGTATATAGTTCGCTTCACTGGACCTTATACTGGCGACAAGCCGACTTGGGAGAGTGCCATGCTGAGCACTATGGGAGCGGAATGATGCCTTTACTACGAGACTGGGAACAGATACTGTAGCGTCTAGTTATTGATAGCGTTGAAGTTGTTTTGTTTTTTTTTTCTCAATTAATCCGTGTTGAGAATTGCCAGCTCTGGCGGTGGCAGGAGGCGCCCGCCTTACTAGCTGCTCAGTGGGCAATGTTTCATATCACGAGTCAAGAAGCAGTGAACGGAATATTCGAACTGCCAACTGACACACATGAATTTGGATTCCTCATGTTCCATATATACTCGGTTCCAGTCGCTAATATAGCTCCACCATTGCATCTCCAGTCATAGCTTGCTACCCTTTGGCCTATCTTTGTGAATCTTTTCCAGAGCATTTCGCAGCCCATCACTCATGCCCGTTGCTGTTGGGCGGCCAGTCGCTCGCTCGACCATGACGTGGACAAACTCGCCAACCGCCTTGACGCCGTCCACTCCACGCTCGAAAAGAGCCACTTCATACGTAACGCTCGACTTGCCGAGCTTGTTGACGCGCACGCCAACCTCTGCGACGGCCGGATAAGCAATCGACGCAAGATAGTCCGTGTGCGAGTGCACAGCAAGAGGCGTCTCGGTGGCTGTAGGAGGCAAAAGTCCGCAATGCTCAATCAGATAGGCATTGACGGCAGAGTCGAACCTGTCGGAGTTCAGCATCAGATCATGCAGGGTAAGAAGGCGGATATGTGCATGGACCTACAGGAAATTGTAGACTGAATTATTCATGTGATCATACATGTCATTGTCATTCCTAGAGATTGTAAGTAACCTCGATGTCGCTCACGCCTCGACTGATGTACTTGGGCGGCCGTCGACGTACCAGCGTGTACGGTAGTCAAGGATGAACGGATAGTCCTCCCGCTTTCGGTTCTTGATATCGGCCGACACCATGATGCCAAAAGCACAGGACTGTGCGCCGGAATTTGCCGTTCAAATTGCAAGAAACGCAGTCCGTTGGGCCGGATCAGGACGCAGATCCAACCACCGAGCGAAAGCCGCAGAGAATCGCACCCGCGATGATACAGTAGGGAGTGGGGAGGGACTAGGGGCGTGTCAGTCTAGAGCAATCGAGTGGCTATCAGTTCACTAAAAAGACGAATGTTGGAATATCAGACTTTTTTTTTTGAAATCTACGCTCAGAGTCCAAAGTGCATGCCATACGAGCGGGCAAGATGGTGCTAGTAGTTCGCCTGTGTGGGATGGAAGCTCAAGGCAGCCGAGGCTATATCCACATATCACAGTCTTACCCAAAAGAGAGTCTGGGGATGCAACCGTGCTGTGAAGCTGGAGAACATCAAACAGCATTATGTCAGCAGCAAACCATGATTCTGCCCCCTTTGACCGCTAAATTTTCAGGGCCAACTGTCGAAGTAGGCGGAGGTACAGCAAGGGTCGCGTGAAATTACTGGACTGGTCTTTGTGATTTGCGAGCGTCACGTCAACTACTACAGCTGGTAGTTTTTCATCTTGGAAGCTTTTTGCTCAATAGTTCGATGCTGAGGCGTCAGCTCATTCGACATATTGAGCCCTTTACCGGCGCAAACAGCACCATCAAATTGCGACGACAACTCGCCAGGTTCAGCATGACTGCCCCGGCCGCGACTGACATAACCGAGTCTGCCGTTGGCGCGGCGGCCGTTGAGGCGCTGAAGAAGCTTTCGCTCGCGAAGAAGCAAGCAAAGAAGGATGCCAAGACGAAGCGACAGCAGGAAAAGCACGCGGCGGAGATGGACGCCCCTCCTGGACCCCTCATCACACCCGCAGGCGACCTCTGGCCCCGACCGTATTACTTTGAGGATGGTTTGCGGCGTGTCAAGCCGTATCACTTTACATATAATACATGGTGCAAGGAGAGGTGGCGCGGTCGCACCCTGATTGATATATTCGCCTGCGAATTTCGCGATCGGCCCCTCGAGTACTACCGCGCTGCAATGGAGTTGGGCGACATCTTTGTCAATCAGCGCATGGTCGGCCCCGACTACATTGTGCGCAACGGCGACAAGATCTCGCACACTCTGCACCGCCACGAGCCGCCCGTCACAGCAGAGCCCGTCGGCATCATCCACGAGGACGACGACATGATTGTTCTCAACAAGCCAGCTGGCGTGCCTGTTCACCCGGCAGGCCGCTACAACTTTAACTCTGTCATTGAGATTATGAAGTCGGATCGCGGCAAGGACTTTATGCCGTACCCGTGCAACCGGCTGGACAGACTGACGAGCGGCATCATGTTTATTGGAAAGAGCCCCAAGGCTGCTGTAGAACTGGGCGTCAAGATCCAAGAACGCAGTGTACGAAAAGAATATCTGGCACGAGTTCTGGGCGAGTTTCCCGACGGCGAAGTTGTCTGCGATATGCCCGTTCTACAAATCTCCCCCAAGCTGGGCTTGAACCGCGTGAGAGCAAACGGCAAGTCGGCCAGGACGGTGTTTAAAAAGTTGGCATACTATCCACCACGTACCCCAAATCTACAGTCTCCAGATGGGCAGGTGACGCGCAAAAACACAGGCTACTCCATTGTACGCTGTCTGCCGGTAACAGGCCGAACGCACCAGATCCGTGTCCACCTACAACATTTAGGATATCCCATTCAAAACGACCCAATATATGCCAACCAGCGTGTATGGGGCGTCAATTTGGGCCATGATGACGCTGAAGCGATGCGCAACACAGACGAAGACATTATCAGCCGGCTGTCGCGCATGGGCAAGGACGAGGTTGCGCAGGCGGTGGTATACTACGACGAGATGGTGGACGAGTACGAGAAGAAGAGGGCCGAGAAGATGACGGGCGAGCTCTGCGACGTGTGCGCAACGCCACTGTACTCGGACCCCGGAAGCCACGAATTGTCGCTGTGGCTGCATAGCCTGCGGTACGAGGATACGGACGGCGCGTGGTCGTACAAGAGCCCGCTGCCGCAGTGGGCGATGCCACCACAAGGCATGGAGGGGCCGACGACGGTTGGTGGTATGGAGGAGCTTCTGAAAGCGGTGCCTGAGACGGAGCTACAGGATGGGCTCGCTACCCCGGAAAAGGACGGCGAACAATGATGGGGAACGCAGGCTGGCTTTGGTTGCATTTGTGGCGTTTTGTGTTTGATTGGCAGAGTCATTGGTTGCATCCAACTGGATATACAAGGGGATACAAAGAATTGCAAAAGTATACATTTACAAGTTGCGCAACTGCACTTGTCGGAAGCACTCTACATGGTTCACGGTACATACTTGCATCATCATAAAGTGAACAGGTGGGTGCGAGTGCCGATTGGAGGAAACCATCGGAAGGATACGGCTCGGAGACTATCAAAGTAGTACGATGCCAGCAGACACACAATGCAGGTCTGCAACAATGTTTGACCTTGCGGCACATATCTTGGCGTGTCAAGCCCTATCACGGCCTTGACAGGCTTGCCTCCAGTCCTACACACATGTTGCCCATCTTGCGGCAGTGCGTCAATTGGGCCCAAGGTTCCCGGGGCGCGGAATTCGCCAAATGGGGAGGGGGTTTGAACAAAGCCCCGTCGATTGCAAGCACAAACCCCCATGTCTCTCTGCCCAATCGGGAAACGGGCGAGCGGAAAGAAAGATCATGTGGGAGGAAGATCATGTCCTAAAAGAAAAGCACGGCATGGCTTTCTGCGCAAGAAAGGGCGGGGGGCAGCAAAGAAAGTCGGAGCTGGAATGCAAAATGCGACATGAGCGGTTAGATGAGTTGTTTTGGTCTGGTGACAGCCGTAAAAGCAACAAGTCAAAAGCACGGACAATTTTTTTTTCTTAAATTTTTGTGTGTATGATGTGAAAGACGACACGCAAAGAGGCATATGAGGCCGCCAATATTAGCAAGTTTCCCTTCTCAGCTTATGATTATCAACTAAAGCAATTGGCGGGCGGCTATTGAATCATCAGATAGATGGTGGTGCGCCTCGAGACGCCACTTCACGCCACAAGTGGCAAACTGACAGCTTTGACCGGTTACGGGGCAAATGAAGTAAATTGAATTTCGCATCTCGTCATTTGCCGAGGACATTCACAGTCGCCAAATCAGTACTGGTAACGGAGTAGATGGTTCGTTTGACTACCCCGGGCAAAAAAAAACGTGATTGTTCCCCAGACAAGTTTGAATTACGCGTACTTGGTAGTGGATCTAGCTGGCATTACCCATGTAGGTGGCAGATTCAAGCCGGACGATCATCTTGTTGACGGGAGATACTCCGTACAGAGTGCAAGATAGCGCGTATGATTTTTTTTTGCCTTCCATTTTATTTTTGCTTTTCTCGGTAAAGGTCTCGCAATGTGCTGACCGAAAGGGGTATGACGTCTGTCTCAGCTTCGTCGAGGTGGCTGTGGCTGGCTGGCGTGTACCACTAGGTTGGGTCAAAGTTTCCCATTTAGGGTGTAATAGCCGATAGAGCCTATACGGCTAATTGAAAAAAAAAAACATCTGTACTTGAATAGCGTCTGCAGAAATAATGGGATTGTACCTTGTCTGCTGGAACTATGAAAAGAAGGGGGTGTGGATGGCAATCGATGACGATGCACCTCAATGGCGAAGAAAAGAAGAGGCAAAGTTGATAGGTTCGATGACGGAGCAAAGGCGAGTGAAAGGGCTCGAATTGCGCACTCGTCAACTCTCCGAGTATAGTTAGTTCAAATGCACATTGGGATGACCTTTTATCCGGATCGCAGTGCAAAGTATGAGGTTAGTTTGATGTCGTTGAATTTGTTAGCGGTGACTCAAACATGTGATGTGATTGATGGTTAGACTTTCTTAACAACATGGGGGCCGTGAGCAAGGATGACCTGACATGCCACAAGAAAAAGAAAGAAAAACAAAGGCCATCCTGCCCAAACAGGCAACGACGCAGTTGATATCGGACAGCGCCGGGAGAGAGGTCGGGGAGAAGAAGCTCCCGTTACGGCCAAGAAACCCGTGGGTCATCCGGATCGGGCAAAGGGCGAAGCTGTCGACTGCCTCTTTTTGAACCATTGCGGGGAATTTGTCTCGCACGTTTCACTACGCGCCGTGCGGGATGCGATGCGGTGGAGGAGAAGGAGGGGGAGAGCCCTCTTGGGCCGAGGAACGAAGAGAGGGGTTGGCCATTGGGACTAGGGACCATGTGCCGAAGAGAGACACACGGAAAGACTAGTTTGTTGTGTCTTGATTTCTTGAAAAGGTACAAGAGGAAGAGGGGAGGCGAGACAAGCCAAGGGCGTGTGAGTTGTATGTACGTACTAGTACCAGTACCAGTACCAGTACCATGTTATTGGTAATGTGTGTGGGCAGAATGTGGGCACGATCTCGGGCGCGGAACGCATGAAGGTTCGTTAGTTATAGAGCAATCAAAGGTATTGGCTTGGTACGGGATACGATTCAGAGACTGGGGAAAAAAGTAAGGTGATGGAGAGCGGGATCGGATGGGCGCATGAGCATCCCATCTCATCGCATCGAGCAAGATGACTCGGCAACCGTTCGCCGCTCGGCAAAGCGACGGTCCAAACAAAAACTTGGGATGACAGTCTTTTGCTTTTTTTTTTTAGCATGTGCGCGCGTGCCATGTGTACCGTGTACTGGTGCAGGTACACACACACACACACACACACACACACGACGGACAAAGAACTAAAGTTCGTCATCTTCAGCTG